GGGATGTGGAGAAAGTGGATAAGGAAAAGTTATTGACTTATTCCCATAATACAAGAACTAGGGGTCATCAAATGAAATTAATAGGCAGCAGGTTTAAAACAAATAAAAGGAAGTTCTTCTTCACGCAGCGCACAGTCAACTTGTGGAACTCCTTGCCTGAGGAGGTTGTGAAGGCTAGGACTATAACAGAGTTTAAAAGAGAACTGGATAAATTCATGGTGGTTAAGTCCATTAATGGCTATTAGCCAGGACGGGTAAGGAATGGTGTCCCTAGCCTCTGTCTGTCAGAGGGTGGAGATGGATGGCAGGAGAGAGATCACTTGATCATTGCCTGTTAGGTTCACTCCCTCTGGGGCACCTGGCATTGGCCACTGTCGGTAGACAGGATACTGGGCTAGATGGACCTTTGGTCTGACCTGGTACGGCCGTTCTTATGTTCTTATTGTGCATTTCCTCTCGGACCTCAGCCCGTAGAAGAGAGGAGCATGCTAATAGCTGCCGTTTTCTGCTGCCTTCTAGGTTCTGGAGAGGCACTGCCTGTCAACCTTAACTCGTATTAATAATGTTTGTGGGCAGTAAATACTAAACTGAATTTGCCCCTTTTCATTGTGTGAATACCAGTAGTGCTATTGACAATGGACACATAGTCAATAATACCAGTAATCTGTAAAAGTGAAAAATGTCCACATTTGCATGAATTAAAATTCATTCTGTTTACATACTCTATTGGTTGTACCGATTCAAGTCTCGCAGGGAGTATTCTGGGCCAGATTTCCCATGTGCTCAGCATCCAGCAGGCTCTCATTGTGACAGTTTATGGCCAGATTTTCTGTGGTCTTTTGGAAATCCCAACTTTATAAAGGGGGAAGGCGGCAAAACAGAAGTGAAGTGGAAGATATTTTTCATTTTAGCTTCAAAATAAGCATAGCTCTCACAAAGCACTGTCATTATTTCCAATATGATGTATAGTCCAAAATGTAAACAACTTGGCCATTTTTTTTTTCAGTGGAATAGTCCGGATACAAACCCTTGTCTGTGTCTTTCTGTGTAGAATGCTCAGAATGCAGCCTGGATATTTCCTACTTATTGTAGTGAAAAAGTCACTGTGATCTACTGAATGGAATGCCATCAGTTACACTGCTGTACTGACCACAGAGGGCCCAGGCCTTCAAGGTGCAGAGTGCTCTCAAGTCCTGTTGTAGTCAGTGGACCTGGAAGGAACTCATTGCCTTGAACAAACGGGGCAGAAGTGAATGATAGTAAATATGGCCCCAGCTCCGCAAAGTATATAAGCATTGACTTCAGTGGTTCTCCAAACATGCCTACGGTTAAACACGCGACTAAGTGCTTTGCTGAATCAAGGCCTGTGACATGAAGAAACGGAATTACTGAATGGAATACCCAGTCACATACTCCCTCTCTCTGACACCCTGCTCACACATCACGCTCCTGTGACACTTGCCGTAACAATCTTTTGTAAGATTGACAATGAGTGTAGTGCGCAAAGGTAGTAAACACAGGGTTTTCCTTAATACATGGAGCTCTGAGTTTGCTTTCATTTCTTGTCTGCTGAGTTATTAAACGCTGGGTCATGGGAAACGAATGAGAAAAATGTATAAACGAATTATGTTTCATCAGCGGTTCTTAAAGAATATATGGCAAATTACAGAGCCTGCATTTAAGGACATCGCTGGGGATGCATGTCTTAAGCTTCGCAGAGATGGAGGATGAGGGTGTAGTAGAGAGCACAATGCTCATTACATCATTATTGTCTGATGAATGGCCAAATTCAGCCTTCATATTGACTACTATTTTCCCTTCTGGTGTTTTCCTGTGTTGAGCAGTCGTGCAGTAACTAGGATCTGTGAGAAATACTGATTCCCGCTGAGACAGGATCAAGAGACAGGAAAAAATATATTCACAAGACAGAACCGAATAAGCACAGAGAAACATATAGACAGACACCGTGCACTGTTTTGTTTCAAAGGGTGGGAGGCTCAGCATTTTGTGAGAATCAGGCCCTTTAAGTGTCTCAAGTTGGGAACCCAAAAGCACTAGTCACTTTTGCAATTCTTGTCAAAGATGATGTCTCTCTAGACTGAGAGATGTCTGTTCTTGCTTTCTAGGAGGTTGCATAACTAAGAAACTTGTCCATGAGGAGAATAATGGCACATACTGTATATCCACTGTATGGAAAGTAAGGGGGGAAGCAGCCCTTTTGCTCACATACACACAAAAAAGGGATTCTCCTCCTCCTAACCACAAAACCACCTATTTAAGGAGGGAAGCAGCGGCCAAACCAAGGTGCTGTACCGTGCAGAAAGTTTTCTTTCTGAAATGATTATTCAGACTATTCCATTCATGCAGCCGGCGTAATGATCTGATGACATTGAGTATATTTCCATTGGATGTTTCACGGGCCGCTTTGCCAGCAGAAGCAATTTCTAGAACTGGGGCTCGTGTATGAATTTCCCACTTGTGTGCTATCACAGTGTTTGCATTCTTGAGAATGAAAGGACTTGAGGTTGAATTGTAAAGCTGTTTGCAGGTCTGGTCTCTCACCCACAGTGATGGTTTACAGCTTCTGAAAACAGCTCAAGGGAAACCTTGCTGTTTGGTGTGGGGAGAGTTATTTATGTGTTATTTGAACCACTGTGATGCTTAGGAGGGAGAGAATTCTCAGCTAATGACTGCTCAAGATGAACTGCAGTATACTTGTCCAGCACATTTAGCAATAATGGCCTGAATCCCATAGTCCTTACTCAGGCAAAACTCCCATTGACTTAATTGGAAGGCTTGCCTGAATAGTATGTGAAAGGCCAGCTTGTTTGCCTAATGGGGGAGGGAAGCACAATCTCTTCTCCGGTCCCTTGCACACAGATAGGTCATAAAGCTATACCATCTTTTGGGATAGTAAAGCCTGCTTTCTTCTGCTTCCCCTTGTACATTCAGACCAGAGCTGAGGGGACATGCCCCTTCCCTTCTCTCCACCCACTCTAGGGAGTTTGCACCCCTGGGGACTCTCAGAAGACGCAGTCCTTCCCTGCCATCTCCAGAGCATAGGGACTCTGATTGTCTGGAGTGCATACGTGCAGGGATGGGGGCAGGAGAGACACTGTGCCAGAGCCACAGAGCCAGGAACAATCTAATCCTGAGTAAGAACTGCAAGATTTGGCCCATGACTTGCATTGTGAGATATCAGATAAGTTGCTATAGGTCTGTTTCTTACTTAGGGATTTGCTGGGGTTGATTTTGGTGGAGCCATATGGCTAAAACTTGATATTTTATGTTGTCAGCCAAGACATGATCTTCCCTTAACTTTCTAAAATCAATTGTTGTTTCTTTTCACTATAAAGAGGGGGCAGAAATACCTTTATGGTGATTTCAGACATTAGCTGAAGCATCTGCAAGCCTGATGCACTATAAAATATGTCTTCTGTAAAACCTCAATCAACAGGATTCTGTAAACCTTGGCTCAGACCAATGCCTCCTTCAGAAAACAAGCAGAAGCTTTTGTTCTTTTTGAGAAGACTAACATACAAGTATGGGCCTTAAACAATAGAGTTAAAAACATTAAACTTTGGCAAATATACACTCTCTACAAAGAATAGGCGTGTTAATGTTTATTAACTTCAGAAATGTCCCAGTCATCAGTCATCTGATACTATATTGTGTGGCCAGTGTTTGTAGAGGTCTTGAACTCTTACTGTCTTCATATTCCTTGCATTTTTTTACTCTTGCTGGATCGGATTTTCCAAAGAGCTCTGTGCTGTGGGTGCTGAGCACTTTGAAAATCTGTCCCTGTGTGTGTAGGTGCGCATGCACATAATACCACCTGTGGTGGTTCTGCCCTTATGGCGGACTCTATCATGCATTTTTGTCTGCTTCACCTGAACCTCTGCCCACTAACCCATCTCTTCCAGAAACACTTTCAATGCTCTGTTCTTCAGGGCAGTTTCAAAGAGCTGCTATTTAAAAAGAGAAAACAAGCCTGTCAGAAAAATGCTTCCTTCTTTCCCCGTCCTCTAATTTGACAGTTCTGAAATTTGGGACAGGGGGTATTCAGTGCTGCTCCAATGCAGGGTTAAGGTTCTGCCTCACATGCAGGGGGGGAAGGTGTGTGTAAGGGAATACACGATGGAGTGATTAATTTTTTTTTTTCAGCATGACCACATTACTCGCACGTGAGGAAGCCACAAGTGAGTTGCGCAAACTACCCCAGACTAGTGCCAACAAAATCATTACACCATCCCAGCACCATCACGTGGGCTGTGAGTTGCTTTCATGTTTCAGAAAAATGATTCCAGGTTACGGAGTTTTTAAAAAAAAAAATTGGCCTGAATCTCCTCTCACTTACGCCACACACTCAGATACCATGGTGATGGGAGGAGGGGAGATCCATGTGACGAATTGCAGAGCCACGTGACAGATGAATTTATCATGTACCTTTGATCACTTCACCAACTCACTGCCCACTGATCCATCTCCCCTGGGATCTAGGATACACTGGAATTAGAGGTGTAATTTCTAGCATGTGTAGACCTACCCATAGCACAGGTAGTGGGGACAGGCTGTCACCCCGAGTACATACCTAGGGTATCAGATGGGATCATACATAGGGCAGCTGGCTCCTTCTGCTGCTCGAGTGGCAGTGGTGACACCTCTGTTTTTATCACAGTAACTGGATGAACGTTAGCGTAAGTACGTCTACCTGAGCTGGAAATTACATCCTCCTCAGGACTTATTCGAACCAGAGGAATGACATTTGTGTACCCCCATTTACAGGAGGGTGCTTATCAAGCAAAGATTTTTAAAATTTATTGATTTGGGCATAAGTTTTCGTGGGTTGCATCTGAAGAAGTGGGTTTTTTTACCCACAAAAGCTAATGCCCAAATAAATCTGTTAGTCTTTAAGGTGCCACCAGACTCCTTGTTGTTTTTGTGGATACAGACTAACACGGCGACCCCCTGATACTTAAAAACGTATTGTTTCTCTGTAGCGTCTCTTCTCAGCGGACTGGACGGTCTGGATTCCATGTACAGCAACGTAGAGCAGCAGCTAAATGAAACGCTGAGACGACGCAGGCATGCAGGAGACAATGACTACAACATTGAAGTGCTTCTAGGAGTGGATGATTCTGTAGTCCGATTCCACGGCAAAGAACATGTTCAAAACTACCTCCTCACCCTTATGAACATAGTGAGTATCTATTACAGGTCCTCATCGTTTCCTCTGAAATGTAATATGAGCCTTAAAATATTTATCAGTGTTCATTTACTTATTCTTTGTATTGCTGTAGCACCTAGGAATCCCAGTTGTGAACCAGGTGCTGCACAGACTTCTACGGGGTCATTTGTATCTGCTGTATGATCAGAATCTATTGCCTTTTTAAAAAAAAATGTTGGTTCCTTTTTCAGTGGATGTTTCTTTTAATCCGTTTTTTATCACAAACTTTTCTACAGGCATATGCCTCTTCTGCCAAGTCTCCACGAATTTCTGAGCTTTGGCCCTTGCTGAAAATCGATCCTGCGTGCAGCTGTCTGCTATGCACAGAATAACCAATTGGGCCCTAATTCCACAAATCAGTTCACGCAGGAAGTGCCCTGTGCCAATGCAGAGCCTCGGAAAAGTCCCCACTGACTTCAGTTGGGCTTTGTCTGAGTAAGAGCTAGCGAAGGACCTCAGGACTTCCCTCTGGTTTTACTATCAATTTATCTAGGAGGAAAATATTCAATTTTTAAAAATGGCTAAGATTAATAATTATGAAGATCCTCCATCCTGTGCCCTTTTGACCTGTCCAAAGAGGAATCTAGGTTTTGACAACTAGCACGATTATGCGCATTCATAGGACTATCATAAATATTGTAAGGATTCATTTATTGTATTTACCACAGGTCATGATGACTATACCTGTCTCTACAAGTCCTTTCCAGCAACACATCTTTAAAGGAAAACCCAATAAAACATGTTAAACAAATGAGTGTTCTGTTTAACAGGTTATGATCGTGAACCATTCTAACCCTATGAAAAATGCATCTTCCCTATTGGAATAAACAAGCACAACCTCATTGATTTAATGGAGCTGCACCTGCCTTACCCTAAAGATGAATTTGGCCATCACTTTAATACTCAGATGTGAATAGAATTGAGAAGAGATCAAAGAAACGGTGAAATCCACTCTTCTAACCACCTTTCCAATGACCCTCCTTAAAAATGGGAAGTGCAAGTGAAGGAAAGAATTGGTGATGTGATTAGAGTTCAAAAATGTTTGTCTGAGTAAGGCCTGACCACAGCTTGCTTATAAAATGGTTGGGAGCCTTCCCTCCGAAGGAGGGGAATCAACAGACTTCTCAGTAGTGGGCCCCACGACCAATAATGCCCAAGGATCTGAAGATTCAGTTCAGCTAAAAGAACCTTTAGAAGGTTGGATGTTTATCTGAAGTTTATACAAACCTCTTTGCTTAGAAACTAGATTGGAAATCTCTCGGGAACAGATGTGTTCACAAAAAAGTGGCATTGGGCACAGGGCTGGGAGCCAAAAGCTCTGGGGCCAAATGATCTGCTGGTGTAAAGTCAATGCAAAGAATTTGGTCTCTAGGTTCTAATTCAGGCTCTGCCGTTGTCTCACTATGTTAGCAGTGGCAAGTATTATACAGCCTGGTTTTTAGAGGCACTGAACACCCAAATTTCCCCCTGAATGTATTAATATTCTCTCATAGTAAATAACAATTCTTAATATTATTTCTTATATAATAATATACTCATCAAAAATTGGTACAAAATTTGTATTGAAGGCCTTTAAGCCAGATTCTCCTCTCTCTTACACTGGTACAAATCCGAGGAGCCAATGGGATTACATAAAGTATATGTACGCCGAGTGAGAGGAGAATCAGGCCCATATTGCATGTGTGGTTCTCATGAAGTGTTTTTAAAAGTGAACTGGACACACCTGCAAAATATTTTAATCAGACTGGTACGGTTGTCTTTGCTACCTCTGACCGGCAAAAGCCGCCCCTCGCGGTAGGAGCCATAATGAGCGTGTGGGAGTGAGTAGAGCAGAATTATATAGAGTCCGGACGGCTCAGTGTCGGCAGCCCTAGCTACATGATGAAGTGCTTCTTCCTGCTCCTTTGAAACGTAGCATTGGTCACCCTAGCTACTGTCCACTGCAGACAGCAATTTACAGACTTGCTGGCTGGGGATGAGGGTCACATCTTTTAACCTTCAGATCACACCTTCCCGGGCCCATAGTGTGCTGTCTGGTGCAGGAGTGAATTGGCCACCCTCACGGTCAGAGAGTTGATGGTGTTGTACTGCCTTGCTTTGTGGAGGAGGGAGAGGAAGCAAGAGGAAGCTTTTCCCTCCTAGGGCACTCGTGCAGTAAGGGGCTAATCCAAGGCCATTGGATCCAGACACTGCACAGCACTTGAATGGGTGATTGCTGCATATAAGCATGAGACTGACATGGAAAGCAAGACTAGGAGCTATGCTGAAGGATGTATTGTTTGACAACCTTTAACAGATATTCTGCCAAGCACACTGTTAATTGATTTAACTTCACGGACCTTACGATCTTGCACATACCCTAGGAAGTGGCTTTTTGAACGAGGAGAAACATGGTCCATATTAGCTGTTTCACTAACTTTAGTTTGTTTAATGCTTTATGACAAGACTTTGTGACTTGGTCAGTGCTCCAGATGCTTCATAATTAATTCTTCGTTGATATCCTAGTATGTCTCAGAAATGTTATGAAGGGGGAAGCTCGGTTTACATTGGTGAGCTCTCCCGCTACCACATAGGAGAACCCTGTTAACAAGGGGAAAGAGATCTTTAGGGCATTGGGTACATTTTAGATGTTGAAATGAGTAAGAGTTTGTTTTGTAGTTAATGAAATACAGAACAGGGAAACCTTCGTTAATGATCACTTCCAGCAACCAGCAAATGCAGTTATCTTAAGTAAGCACTTTGAAGTAGCTTAAGGTTTTCAATACAACTTTGTTTGATATGTAATTAGAGGCCTCCTCTATTAGGCAACTGATCCTTGCTACTCTGTGGTTGGTTACTTAAGATAAGTATCACTGTATTAAAGTAACTGATCAGAACGATATACATGCAGGGTTTCAAGTTGTAGGGAGCAACCTTTAAGTAGATTTTGACTTGTCTGGGTTTATATTATTTTGCACATTTTTTTTGCACTAACTCCTTGGTCAGTGGTGTGACCTTCTGTGTACTCTGACCAAAATCACATGGGCTCTTTTTTATGTGCGCCAATTTCCCCATTTTGCTGGTAATTATCAACTTTGGGTCCTTATCAGCTTTGCTGGATTCCAAGTATCTCCTTCCTCCTGAATAACTGTTGGTTACTGTTCCATAGATGTATTAGCAAGGACTTTTTTTCTGTGCTCAGTTTCATTGTATCTCCTGCGCAAATACTTTTCTCCTTTCTAGAGTTGGGATTGTCAGATGTACTCAGTGTGGGTCCAGCTCTGTTCCTAATGAAGTCAGTGGAAACTGATCAACACTGAGTGCTTTTGAAAATCCCGCCTTAGGTCTCTTTGAATGATTATTTTGCCCTTATTGAGGATTCCTTTCTTCACTGTCAGGTTTCACCACAGTTTGTTGTGTTACAGTGGAAAAGGGACAACCTTGAATTTAATGTACTTTTAAAAAAAAAAAAAAAAATCAGATAATATAGAAGTAATTAAAACCAGGCTTAAAAAGGGTAATTAATCCTTGTGACACCTCATTGGACAGTTTCCCACACTTCAATACATAGGTTTTAAAGAATAATATTCCTGTTGTCAGATGTATTTGAAATTTTCTGCCATCTACTTGCTTTGTGTTGAGACAGTCATGTACACTTGCAACTCTTCTGCCCTTTTATTTGTAAGATAGGACAATCGGCTTTCTACGTTTGTACCTACAGAACAGTGGTTGGGAAAACCTGGATTACCTTGTGTTCTGCAGAATAGCAACATGTCACAGGAGCCCATGTAACTAAATCAGAACCGGGATGGTAGCCTGTGTTCTTTCAGTGCTTGATATCCTTGCAGAAGGGGGTCCCCCAACCTAAGGCACCTCTCCCTTAGTTACTGCCCAATACTTCCAGCCCCTGCCCAATAAATACTTTCAGTACTACCTTTCCCTCTTTGGTTCAGCATCCCGGCATGGAGGACAAGTGCCCTTGATATGTTCTCTTGCCCACTTGCTCCTGAGTTAAAGGATAGTATTCCATTCAGCACTCATTCCTTTATATGGAATTTTGTATACATTTGCTGCTTGTGAAAGTAAGGTCTAGTGGTAGTGAATGGGTGGGTAAAGCCAGACATCAGGCAGGCAGGTACAATCCAAGCTCTTCCTCACAGCTCTGCCAGTGTACCGGAGCTGAAACCGTTCTGAAATTCCAATCCCAGACTTCTCCTGAGGAGCAACTCCCAGTCATGCTGACGTATGTGGGTATTTTGTGATGCAGAGAAATGCGTCATAAGAACTAGGAAGAGTTTGCTACATGTATGACCAAATTAGGATTTGGGTCTCCTGAGATGAAAAACTAGTGCATTTGTCCAGTGAGTAACAAAGTTTTTCCTTAAATTAGCAGAACCTACAATGCTTGCCTGGGTTCATTTTTACCATCAAGTGGTTTAGGTACCCTTAATGTGAACTTGCCTGATGGGTGATTGAGTTTTATTCTGGTTATGTTACCAGATGTGGATTCTTGAAATAAGCAATATTGATAAGTTGCATTTTTAGACCTTGGCATCTCTTCTGCATCTTAATTTCAGCTGCTAGTTAGATGATATTGTGAAGTTAATTATTAAATATAAAGTGTTTTAAGGAATCTCTTCATTTTATTCTTTTTGTTTACAGCAACAATCATAGCAGTGCATTGTTGGCACAAATGAACTCCAGAAACTAATCTCTGTTCTGTTGTTTTCCATAATAAATATTAATTTGAGATGCCTTCAGAACATTGACTTTTAGTTCTAAACCAAACATATTTAACTTTTTGTAAACAGATTTTAATATCCCAAAACAGTTTCAAGTTTCATCTTTTCTATAATGTAAATAGCTCCATCTGCTGGTAATATACTTTTAATACAGAATACATCTAACTAAAATGTTTACCATTGCCGTAAAGTTTTACGTAAATAATACAAAATATTGTGACTCTGTACTGTATTATAATATAGAGAGAGTTT